CCTCTGTAAATAGGGCGTAATCTCTAATAATTTAAATAATAATTGTAAAAAATAAGCGTGAAATTCAATGATTTCAACAAACAAAATAAATCAGATCGAGTGAAGCTTATTTAAGACAACTCCTATTGTTTGCATTTGACATGAAATTCCATGAATGACATTCTGTAATTTTTCAGAAAATTATTTTGATTTAATATATAGTCGTTGAATTAGCAGAAATATCATCAGAAATGTTGAAGTTTGTGTTGATGATCGTGTGCTTGCTGAGCATTGCCGCGCAGGCACAAGAGCTGTTCTTTAAAAAGTGTCCCAACCCGTCCGTGGTGTCGAACCTCGACGCCAAAAAAGTGAGTAAATTGTTATTTATTTTATAATAATACTGATATATTTATTCAATATTGTTAATCGGCTCATGTTATTTTCCTTAAAGTGATTTGGATCCATGTCATTGGTAATTAAAAACCCAATCGGTCAGTTAGGTCTCATTGGCCTCACATTTAAATTTGAATTCTCCTTTAAGAAAGGGTGATACAAAAAGTATAATACAATTAGCTCATTTCCGCTTGACCTATGGGTCAAGCTCGAAATTTAAATAAATCGGTAATAAACCTCGGTAACCCAAGTCTTCCTCTAACTGTTTCCTAATTGTCGAGCAAGTATTTTTTGCATGAATCTTTTAAGCAAAATAATTGTAATTCAATACTGACTCTTAATTTGTTATGTAATATTCAATCACACATGATGGATAAATTACACTAGCAAGTAATTGGCTTTGATGTTGTTCTACAAATTATAGAGGCTAATACCAAACAGCCAGCAAATTATGAATTAATTCATCACACTGGAATCTAAAATTAAATAAGAAGCTTTACTACACTAAAGGGATTTTTAGGCTTTCTTTTCCTTCACTTCACCGGACTATTTCTTCTAACACGTCTCACAACCGACGGAACGTGAATCAATATGTAAAACAGAAAATAATAAACTGTAAATATTTCAATTCCACATTTAGAACCGAATGCTTAGTGCTCAATTAATTCACTGATATTTTACTCAAGTGCGAGTGCGTCAAGGCTGGGTTAGCGACATAAAAACTGGTTCCCTATGCCGCGCTAGCCAGAGAAACGGCTCGATCGTAACGGCCAAGTTCACCGAAAGTGAAACTACTTCAAACATGGTTTCTCCTGTTGATATTCTTTGTTGTCGTGAAATGATCCTTGGTATGAGACATGTTTTAAAATATGCCGATCTAAGCAGTTTGACATTCAAGCTAAACTTCGGTCTTCAGAATGCAAGCACCAATTAGCATTACAGAAATTTCACAAATTGTTAATATTATTATTCATAAAACTTATTATAAAAAATAAAATTATTTTATCCATAAAACTTTGGTTTTAATAGATAAAAATAATGTACGCGTTAATTTTTTGCATAAAATTACGTGCTGAAGATACATCAATTTGCAATAAAATAATCAACACCAGTATCAGCAATCTTGTTCTTATAGGGACGGCGATTGAATAGGAGGAATTCTCAATTGTTTTTTGATCGTCAGCTTTATTAACATTCTGTTGTTAATCCTGATAATATGCAAACGCAACCTCAGATTTTTTACTTTAAGTCATTTTCCGAAATGGAGATTATTTGAAAATCATTTACTGGTTTATAAATGGCGAAAAACGAAAAATACTTATATAATAGAGTGCTGAATTCCATATTTAATGTAAATGCTTGTTGAAACTTAACTTCATACAGGTGATTAGAAAAAAAATGAAAACTCTTTTTTCTTCTCCTTCAAACTAAAGAATATGATATTTACTTTCAAACAGCCACCAAGCAGTGAATAATGGCAGCGTTTACTCTATGAATATAATACGGTGAATAATACGGTGAATAATGGCCGCGTTTACTCTATGAATATAATACGGTGAATAAAATTATTCTACAATATCATCATTTCAAACTCGGAAATTACAGTACTGCCTGCAATTTAGTGCAGTTATTTTCTATTCGCAGAAAAAGGTACATTTTTTAGCATTTGGCATAAAAAAATTATTTTTCGTTCATTTCTTGAGTTGGCCAGAAATTTTAGAAAAACTTTCGATTGTATTAATCAGTCGGAAATTGCACGGTCCATAAATATAAGAATGTTTATTGGAAAAAAGCTCCGTTTTCAAGCTTATTTGATTTTAAAATCTCTTCCTTCCACCAGTTGTTATACCTACCAAATTATTATTATAACAATAAGGTAGGCGTATAATATAAGATCGTTATTATACCTACCTAATCATCACGATCCTCATAATTATCTAGTGATCATGACAATTTAAATGATACAAATGAAGCTGAAGAACATTTCCATTAAATTCATGGAAGTTGAATTACTTTTGGTTTCTGGACCAATTCATGGAAAATATTCTCTTCTTTAACATCCAAACTTGAAGTGCGCTATCACAACACACAACAAAATTTTATGAGGTTAGGTTAGAAAATCTTCAACACCTGAGGTTTTTTCATGGTTATCAGAATGAGTTTGGCATTGAAAAATTATATGAGATACGATGATTTCTTTTTACGATAGAGATCACGAGATTTATTTCTACGAAGGAGATCACGAGATTTATTTTTACGATAAGAGATTTGACATGATGAGATTTTTTACGAGGATATTTCTGGTTTGCAGTACCTGGGCAAGTGGTACGAGAACCGCAAGTATTTCGCCATCTTCCAGTTTGGCGGGCGCTGCGCATCTGCCAAATACTCGGACGCGGGCAACGGGCTCATCAAGGTTGAAAATAATCAACTAAACTTGTGAGTTGAGTTATCAATTAATTATCTATATTTATCAATGTATCCATGGATCTTAGTTCCTAATGTTTGAACTTTACGAATCGCATTTGTCGTCTCAGTCTTTTCTTCCTCTAACCTTTTGTGTTCCGTCAGCTGGCCTGTGTAATTTATTTGATTTTTCGTCCGTTTTTATTGTTATTTTATTATAAATATTATCTATTTCCATTGGCGTAACAATTTTTCAAACTTAATTTTTGGTTTATGACCCAATTTATTTCCCATGTGCTAATTCTTTTTTACATTGTTTCTTTAATAGGTTCTTCATTTTTAATTAACTTTGTGATTTTTTTCATTTATCGCAGCTTCGGGAAGCCCAGCGGCGTAGTCGGGCAGGCCAAGTTCGCCAACCCTAGCAGCAGGGAAGGGAAGCTCTCAGTCTCCTTCTCCTCTCCGACGCCATGTCAGTGTCTAGGAGCTCACATTGGCCTGTAATTTTAGTGTGGTGGTCTTTTCTGTCTTAATAATGTTGAACTTTGTTCCCAACAATTGAACTTTATTCCCAACAATTGAACTTTGTTCCCAACAATTGAACGTCAGTATCTAGGAGCTCACATTAGCCTATAATTATAGTGTGATGATCTTATATGCGTTTATAATGTTGAAATTTATTCCCAACAATTGAAGTTTATTCCCAACAGTTTATATCAATGTAATTGATATATTTGTAGTTAAATTCTTTAAATTTTCCAATTTCAAAGCTTTACTTCGCATAGGTATATACTGGTTTATTCGACCGTGCAATAACCTCTCCTTCATGCATTCTCACAATCAGTCAGTCATATGCTGTTAATTCTCCCACATGCGTTCATCATTGTAAAATTGAATTTTTTTACATCAAGCTAAATTTTTGCATTTGGCCTAAATTACCATTATTTTTATGTTATATTAATGCGCTCCACAATAATCAAGTTCAAATAATGACTTTTATCTTTCCAACATTTGATAATTTATTACACTATTTGCGTGTCTGCAGATGCTAACAACTCCAACGCTGTAACGGACTCCAACTACTGGGTGCTGGACACAGACTACAACTCGTACGCTGTCGTCTGGAGCTGCACCAGCGCTCTCATAGCAAACATTCGTACGTCTTTACTTAATCATTAATGAACGCCAGACTAATAACATCTTGCTTCCTTTTATATTATTATAGTCCACTTTATTATAGGTGTTCTCGCATTCGTTAATGAATGTTTTTCTATTAACACTTTGACTCCAAAGTGGTACGTATGCGTACCACGAAATGTATTTCTCCAGCACGTAGTGGTTCATGATTCAGGGTTGCAAGATGGCTTAAAAACGACCAAATTCGCTAACAAAAAAAGACTTTAATTCAATATATACTATTATATTTGTAGTTTCCGGTGTAAAAATTTCATTTTTTAATTTAATTAGGAAGAACCCTTATCATAAATTTTAGCCGGCCAACGTAATTGAAAAAAAAAATAAATCGCGGAATTTGTCCGGGAAAAAGACCGTTTGGCAACCCTGTTTCCCAATAGTAAAAAAAATGAAATAATAGTATATCAATATATAAATAATAGTGCAAGATGAAGCAATCGGAGTAGATCTGTTAAGATCGTGGTTTATCGAATATGAGAGTTGATTTAATTGTTCACTTTATCATTATTGTTCTGTCATTGATTTATAAAGTCTCACTAATCTTGTTTTATTTTATGTGCCAGTTAACTGTAGTTTCTACTAAACTCTACGTGTTCTCGTATTCAGTTTTGAGCGCCTCACTATTTAGAGAGTGGTCATTTTAAGCGTCTTATCAGTGGAGTTTAGTGATGATGATAAGTTAGCCTTATTGTTTGGTTGCATTAAGAGGTTTCATTTAATTGTGGATCTGTGTTTAGAGATGAATTTAAAAATAATTGATATCAGTCCGGTATAATTAATATTAAAAACTACCAAACATATAAATATTAATCTCAGGTTTTGTTAAAAACAGATGTCCTTCAATTTCTCCCACAATTTGTCCAATCATATGAGTATCAACTCAAAATTATGGGTAGAAATAATTTGCATGGATAATTCATCTTTCTAAGCGTACTCGAATGGGAATTTCAACCAATATGCCACACTCGAAAACTATTTGTGAATTAACATGACATTTTCATTTGATGAATTGGCGTGTCCTCCCTCAGAGTTTATGTGGGTGCTCACGCGCGACCCGCAGCCGTCGGAGGCGCTGGTGAACAAAACTCTGACCATCATCAGGAACAAAGGCTTGGACCCAACACGCCTTAGCATCACCGACCAGAACAACTGCAAATAGTGATGACGCATCGAAACTGTAGGGATCAGTAACCAACTTCATCACTACTAGCATCAGTAACTGCAAGCAGTGACGCGACGAAACTGTAGGGAATAGCAACCAACTTCATCACTACTAGCATCAGTAACTGCAAGCAGTGACGTATCGAAACTATAGGGATCATTAACCAACTTCATCACTAGTAGCATCAGTAACTGCAAGCAGTGACGCATCGAAACTATAGGGATCAGTAACCAACTTCATCACTACTAGCATCAGTAACTGCAAGCAGTGACGCACCGGAACTGTAGGGAATAGCAACCAACTTCATCACTACTAGCATCAGTAACTGCATAAGCAATGACGCGACGAAACTGAAGGGAAATAACGACTTATCGCGTTGGTGTACCGTAGTATAATAGGAAGCATAAAGCTGAGATACACATTGACGTGACCGCGACGCGTAGTTCTTTTCTTAAGTCACGGTTTTTCTTGTGTTGGTCTCTAACTGAAATAAATGTGTTCCCCTGATCTAGTTTCACTACCACGAAGAGTTATGCAGTAAGTACAAGTAAGTGAAAACTGTGCTGGTAGCGTGAAAACGTTNGTAGTGTGGTGAACGGTAATATTTGATCGTAAAAATATTGAAAGGTAAAAAGCACCCATTCTCTTATAGAAAGAGTATTTTCTGTGACCATCAATAGAGTTTATAGTAAAATTTTTAGTCAAAAAATTGATTCGAGAAATTCCAAAATGGCCGTGAAGTTCGTTTATCTAAAACATCAAATTAGAACTAACGTTTAGTCCTCAACAATGACATACTCTTTCATGCTCTTCTAATGTCTATGTTACTGCAGGTGAAAAGGTGCTCATTGCTTTGAACATAACTTTTCTATAAGTTTTCATTGAATTTTTCCTCCATGATCTTCAATGGCGTTTTTCATAAATAATATTCTCGAAATAAATTGTGGAAAAATTCTCCTACATTCGAAGTAAATCCAATGGAAACCAATTAAATAAATTACATTTTATTTCCTTCTTTTAGTAGACATTACTGGAAAATTTATGTTAAATTTCCTCAAAAATTCAACATGCATCGCCTTGGTTAAAACAAGTCTTTGTTCAAAGTATTCTTTGTTCAAACAAGTCTTTATTCAAACAATTCTTTGTTCAAACAAGTCTTTGTTTAAACAAGTCTTTGTCCGAACAAGTCTTTGTCCATTCTTCACGTTAGAAAATTTACTGTGATCGATAAGATGACACATGTTCGTAGTTATAGCTTCTATTGAACAGCTCGCCCACGTGTCTTTGTTAACAAAACCTCATATTTCGTTCGAGCCACAGGTGTACGTCTCGTGAACACGCATGAATAAGTTTTCGTTTCCTACGTTTGAAGTTTTCGGCGGCATATCGCTGGCCAATCATCGTCTATATGTGGCCTGCGATCCCACAGCCATGGTGCTGTTAATTGCTAGCAGCTGCATCGATTCACCGGAAGTGAGGAATTTTCCTCGTGGTTCAGCTGAAATTTTACTGAAAATTAAAAACTTAAAAAAATTGCCGAACTCTTACGTAATATTTCCTAAATTGTGAAACGTTTTAGGAATAATAAATTAAGAAACATTTTACGCTAGTATAAGCACTAGCGTAATTGTAATGCAAAATTTTCTGTTCACTTAAACGGGAAATGGAAAGTGACTCACTTTTTCCACAATAATTTGGATTACTACATCGAAAAATTATATTTATCAATTATTATCTGCCGTTTATTTTATATATATATCTTTATTTAGAAATTTTGAGTTCATCTTGATAAAGAATTTTTAAACTCAGAGCCTTCATTTCTTCGTTTAAGCCTATTTATATTATTCCAATGATTTGAGGATATTTCCCTGTGATTTTTTCTTCTCTAATTTTGTGAGAATCCACTTAATATTTATTAACAACCTTCGTTTCTTGTACGCGCTCCGATTGTTAATCAGGTTTCTTTTCAATAACTTGTTTTTGATTTGCTGTTTCAGTTTATCAAAGGTTTTGCTATTGCAGTTTATCTTAGTTTTTGCTGTTGCAGTTTATCAAAGTTTTTGCTGTTTGAGTTTATCAAAGTTTTTGATTTGCTATTGCAGTTTATCAAAGTCTTTGTTGTTGCAGTTTGTCAAAGTTTTTTATTTGTCGTTGCAGTTTATCAAAGTTTTCGATTTGTTGTTGCAGTTTATCAATGTTTTTGATTTGCTGTTGCAGTTTATCAAAGATTTTGATTCGCTATTGCACTTTATCAAAGTTTTTGTTGTTGCAGTTTGTCAAAGTTTTTTATTTGCCGTTGCAGTTTATCAAAGGTTTTGCTGTTGCAGTTTGTCAAAGTTTTTGATTTGCTATGCTGTTGCAGTTTATCAAAGTTTTTGCTGTTGCAGTTTATGCAGTTTTTGATTTGTTGTTGTAGTTTATCTAAAGTTTATTCCGGCATTTGCTATTGTGCCTCTGAAGTAATTTGTACGAGAGACTGCTTAACTCTTTGATATGCTTTGTATAAGGTAACCATTTGAATGTGGTATTTATTTCTATTCAACTGAATACTGAAATTATGAAGAATCAATCCAAACAAAATGGATTCTTCAAGAAACCAAAGCCGAATATGAATGTCATAACTATCTTCAACCAGAATCAAATGAACAGTGGTTATAAAGTAAATGAATGGAACTTTCAATATATTTTTCATAATATTACTGTAAACTCCACTGATAATAACAAAATAAAACTATTGATTCACTAAAAGACACGAAAATTCAAAACACTCCTATGAATAATAGCCTCAGGGAAAAAAACTTCTCCAGGAGACAAATGTAATCTATAAATTTTCCTGTAATAAAGAAGATTGTAGACTTCTCCCCAATATGGACTACGTCGGGCTCACAACTACAACATTAAGCCGACGTCCCACGTGCCACCTTCAGTCAAGAGGACCAGGGAACCACCTAATAGAGGCCCACAACGAGAACATCACCCGTACGGTGGTGGAAGAATACACCAAATATTGAAACCATTAATATTGAGAAAAGGACTCCAGCTTCAATCAAGCCCCATTTTACGTGAATTATCAGGGCTTTGAAACCATTAAAAAACTATTATTAAAAAACTATTGTAAAAAAACTATTATAAAAACTATTATAAAAAACTATTATTGAAAACTATTATTAAAATCTTCTGAGAATAACTGATCGAGCAACGCTGGGAAATCCTGCGATGCTCGAAAAAACATGCTGGGTTAAAGTGCGGGCTTAATTTAATGCATAACGTGCGCAAAACCCCCAGCAACATTGGATTGAGTTGATAGTAGACTGTACGGCAAACATATCCTTTGTTGAGCTGCACTAGCGTGAGGCTTCTCTATGTTTCAAGTTATTTAAGTTGGACAAGGGAAGTTAGGAAGAATCGAAATCAAACAATGCATTTCAAATCAATACCATAAATTTCAGAACACCTGGGTACCACCCAATAAAAAGGCCCCTGCATAGCACTCAAAACACCTGCAGCAAATTTCCGTAGTTATGAACGATTTGGAGTAGATTCGTTAGCGGCATTCTACCCGCAGGCTTGAACGAGTAGTGATCGTGTCTAAAGTCTGCTAGAGTTCGGGGTTTTAAAGACCGTATTTTCGTATTTTCATTTTGGGAGTTGAGTTTGAATCTTGAGTATGTTCAAATCGCCACTCGCCCTATTTTTTATCTAAAGAATTTTCAACACGAAAAACGTAATCGTAAGTTCAACTTTTGCAACGAAGATCATATGTTTGTACATCAAGCATTTATAGAATATCTGCGAGATTTAGTCTATCTTAAATAACAACAACATAGATTTAATTTTATCTTTACAGGGAACCTGTCTAATATTAAAGCATTAGTCCAAATATTTCTACAGGATAATGGCTATGCATCAGACCGGCCGAGTTATAGGAGCCCTCGTGGCCACACTTATGAGTCTGGCGTCTGTGAACGGTACCGTGTTCCTGGGAAGCTGCCCCAACCAACCCGTTGCCACCAGCTTCGACACGACTTCGGTAATTTCCGTTATTTTGGAAGATTTTTATTTGATTTAAATTCTTGAGCCAATTAAACGTTTGCCTCGGTTTATATCAAAGTGGGTAGTTCATCTACGAAGACGTAAACAGCAGCATTCCAATATTCAACATCGTCGAGTGGTGGAAGCTTCATTTTACTGAGGTTCAAAATCTAGGTGCAGAATTTTTTGACGAGTTTGAGCATAAATTTTGCACCAGCTTTGCCATTTGTACTTCAGATTCTAGCATCAAATCATTTCATTTTAGACATCATTTTTCATTTTTGCAGATGCAAAGATTTTAGTTTATTAGAAAATTCTTGTACGGTGCAGGACAAATAAGCATCGTCATTCAATTCCCATGTAAATCCTCCTAAATATCATAATATTTAATCAAACGGCCTCAGCATGTTTACCTCGTTGGCTATCGTGTGGCAAGCATACAACATTAATTCCTTGTAAAATCCTTGTAAATCAATCATGACATATGAACATTTTAAGTTAATTGTTTCATGTCATTTTTGAGTTTCGAGTGTTGTGAGGTTTTTGTCATATTATTTTGCAATCCACAACCTCCCATGTGACTGTGAAGTTCTAACGTTTTTATCTCAGAAAACCGGTGATCAATATTATGGGAAAAATTGGGGTATGTTCTTGTATAATTTAATAACAAATTGGAATATAACTTATTATTGATAAGTATGATCTTGTTTATTTTTTATCAATTCTATGAGTATTGTATAATTAAATTTGTACCCCGCACCCTGCAGTTCGTTGGAGACTGGTACGAGTACAGCTCGTACGTCGGCTTAGGGCAGGTCGCGTTCCGGTGTCCTAAGGAGAAGTACTCGATAATAATTCCTGGACGCTTCAACGTCGAGCAAGAACGTATCATTTTGTGAGTCAGCAGAATATTGTTTGTGCAATATTAATCGTTTGCTTCTGAGAAAAGTACGGTTATCTACATGATATACATTTTTTCTATAGTTATTCATTAGCAGGATCTACTGAAAAACAAATTATCTTAGTATTTTTCCTTTAACCCTTTGCGAATTTTTCATTCGAATTATTGAGAAATACTCCATTCAAATCGGCTCTGAGATATTCCGTTTTTGATTCAGGAGTAGGGCGAATAAATTGTAGAAAATATTTGTATATTACATGTTTTTTACACGACTATGTACACCCCGAGAGTTATGAAAATTATTTTCAAGCAAACGTGTCCGCTTCGTTAGGAAATATTCATAATTGTACGTGTTCAAATCCGCAGCTAAATGTAGAAATTTTGTAAAAATACAATTTTATATTTCCCAATTATATTGATATTTAAATTTTCCTTCAGGGGCGTCAAAAACACAGTGAAGGGTCAAATGAAGTTTGCAGACCCAAAGAATTTGGAAGCGAAGCTCTCCATCTCTTTCGTTGAAGGCGCATGTAAGGAACCAAGCCCATTCTATTCATCGTTTATTTCTTTGAATATATACTGTTGATTATAATTATCAAATATTTACAGACTTTCATGTGGAGCGCGAATATTTCTTGCAATTTATATTATATTACCATGTTCTTAATTTAATTGTAAATTTAATTGTTCATTCGACGTCTCTTCTACCCAGTCGACGGCCGCTGGACAGAAGTAACGCCCCCCAACTACAATGTGCTGAAGGCCGACCCGGCCTTCATCATCGTCTGGGACTGCACGAACCTCGTCGCCATCCACTTCCGTTAGTATCTATCATAAACTTTGTTAACTAATACTTCGTGTGCAGATACATTAGTGAATTATGTTAAAATTTCTTGCACATATTTTTTAAGACACTTCTTGTTATTCTTTAGGCGCATGAGAAAAAAACGATTTAAAACACAGCACAACGAAATGAAAAAAAATCCTATTGAGGAGATCTTGCATAATCTAATCAGCTCTGTCGGCAATACAACACAATATATATAACTAGAATAAGCAACATAAGTGTTATGTTCTAACACTTATTAATCAAGACAACGGCAGGTCACTAAAATAAGAACAGCTTTAACAACTAATTCAGGATAAACTGACACAATCACAGCACCAAAAAACAAATCATGCTGTTTTAGTTATTTTCTTTCGCACCTGAATACTGCATTCCTTTAGCCAATGAATTCGATCTTAATGCCTTTTATTTCTGATGAAGATTTTGAAAACTTCATTGCTTACGTAAATGTAATATTCAGTTAATGCAGTGCATATCAATGTATATAAAATTTTTGCCGTATCCAAAAAGAAGATAAAAAATCGTTCTTACTTGCTTTTCTAGGGAACGTGAGTTCATGCATTGAGTGAATTATAGAAGGCAATGCATTACGTAAACCATAGTATGCAATTCATTACGTAAACCATAGTATGCAATGCATTACGTAAACAATAGTATGCAATACGTGAGGTAATGCATTAACTAATATATTGTATTGTTATTCACATTGACTTTCCCCCGACAGCAACTCTGCGTATCCTGACCAGACAGCCAAACCCGCCCCAGTTCGTCATCGACGAAATCTACAAAGAACTTGAAGATCGCGGCATCAGCACCGGCTTGCTCCTAAAGAATTCTCTAGACGATTGTTCTTAATTCCTAAGTTCTAAAATGAACAAAATTCTTGGCCCTGGAACTGATTAATTACTGAATTAAATTCATACCTTAACGCTGATACTTTTCTAACTTTCCTTACAGGCCTTTGTTTCAAGATTTAACCTTAACGATGTAACATTTCTTCACTATTTATCTACTGATTAACTTTTGAAGGTTAACGCTGTCATGTTTCAAGGTTTTATATGTAATTTTGTTAATTAAAATAATACATTTTCGCGGTGAGCCCTTCATTTTAAACATCATGTGGTAACTGAATAAATTCAAATCCTTAATAAAATTTCACGAGCGTTTTCTTCAAATTTTTTACATGTAACGCCAACCAGGAATCTGACGTTTAAACAACGTTGATAAGAAGTTGCTACAACGTCATTTGTCTGGAATTATCGTTGTCATCTGCTACAATGTTCAAAATTTATTCCTGATGGATCGTACGGGTGTTTTCTATTTTTATTCGAGATTTTTTAATTGATAAAGTTGATGAATTATGTACTATATACCAAGTTTAAAAACAAAAATGTTATTCAATGTTCACGTGAAGAATTTTAAACTATGACTGTTCGTATACATATTCTCTTAGCAAAAAAAATTCTTATTTCCTCAGTATTGGGCAGACAATTTAATTGTAATCTGCTTGACGTACGGATTGCAGTGAGGTTGTGAAGGATTGCCTATCTATTTTGTTTTACTGCATTCTCAAATATCTAACTTCGTTGCAAGGCTTCCTATCTTTTCCTTTTTAACCAGAACAGTTGGTTTGATTTAATCAGAGAAATTAATTTTACTCGACATTTTTTAGTCCGATTGTTGCTTATTGTCTCGTACGTCTTTAATTTTGTTGGTTATTGTGTGTAAAATTTTTAACAATTAAAAGTGTGCTGCGTTTCTTGGGATTCATATTTATCCTAAATTCGTCCAATTGTGGTGTCAAATTGTACAAGAAGAAAATTCAATGTATTTTCTACGGCTTTTTAACGAAGTTTTTTGCTTTAGATGGCCAATTGAAGAAAAGCATATATAGTTGTTAATCTTTGGAAAACATTTTCAGTGAGGAAATAGTCATGAGCTCATTATTAAAATGAATACCCTGATAATTGCACAGCTTCATTGAAAGTTATGTGAAATCGCTCCTCATTTCATATGATTTTTCGCTAATGAGCAAAAATTATCCTGGATTGTGAGGCCTGGTCGTGATTAGCGCAGATTACAAGATAATATTTTCGAGGCAGTGGAGATTATAGGGTAAAAAAATGATAGGGTAAAAAGACGATAGGGTACAAAGACGATAGGTTAAAAAGATGAGGGTACATAACAGAGAAATCGTCAATTTTCTCAAGTTCTTTTTCAGTAGGTAGTCGTCTACTGCTGCGCACTGATTAATTAGTAGACAACATTTTCATACGAACACGCGCAATACCTTTCAGTAGAACTCCTTCCAGTGAATATTGAATTAAGGAAGTTCTGACTGACGTGACCTGTTTCAATTTTTTGCGTACGTCATACGACTTGTCTACATCGATCATTAGAAATTTAAAAACGAAGAAAACTCCACAAAAATTCCACATATCTCTATTGAAAGCGTTTCGGACTCCAGCTCCGTCGTCAGTTCGATAAATCTAGAACACAAATACAATCGGAAGTTAATAAAGTTTGTATTCAAAAAAAAAATACAGAAGCTCAAAACCTAAATTTACAGGCAAAAGGCAGAGTAATAAAGTAAATATCTATATATTCGCAGTTTCTAGTGGATAAGAACTAAAGGCTGCATTTAAGCTAGGCCTCTCTTTAAAAATTTATAAGGATTCTAAAATACTCAGATCGGAAGCACCAGAACTATAAGCTAAAACCTTAGAGTCAGTGTCGGACACTGGAGCGTTGGACTGTTCGGGGTAAGTGCGCACAGCCGAAAGAGGTGGGCGCGATATTAACTGCCCAGTCCTGTAACTCCTCCCTCTATGCTCAGCGACCCTACAGTAAAAATTGCATGACTTCAATCCAACGTACGCAGATGCACATCGTACATAACTAATTTTATAAATTAGGGACGATCGCATGTGAGAAGGGAGAATATCTTTGTACCTAGAATACGAGCCTATTTAAAAATTATTCACCAAAATATGAAGTTTAATGTCCGGAAAGTATTTCTAAAACAAATCTTTTAATTCTCTTGATATAGCTTCGGACGCATGGCTGAAGTATGGAAGAGAACAGTAAACAACGTTTACTGTTCTCTTCAACTCCGAAACGTTTCAAAATAGATATGTTGAATTTTTGTAGAGTTTTCTTCTCTTTTAAGTTTTTTGAGGATCTGCGTTTCAAGCCTATAGTGACATTTATAAATTGATCATTGTTTAAAATTTCAACATTTATTCATTTTATATTTATGATCGTAGCGATATTGTGAATTCGTGAATTTTTTTGCCAGCGATGGCTAGATTTAGTCTAAAATAATTGCATTGACTAGCTGTTTTGACTATCGTTGTTGCATGTACTAGCAATGCATCAGCCAACACTTGTGTAAGAGTTGCGAATTTGGTCGATAGTGACGCACATGTTGCAGCGTTACTGCGAGTTTCCAACTTCTCGATGGGGAAAATTTGAGGCTGGCTTGCATTACAAATGATCATATCTAATATTGTCTCGAGAATAACATCATTAGGAATTCTATAACAATATTTTACATCACATATAAGTTGAATTTTTTACAGCAGAATTTGCTCTATGAAACAAGCTGAGGACTTCAAGATATTAAACGGAAAATTAGGAATCTAGTCATGCTCGATCATATTGAAGTAGGTATTATTACTAATTAATTTTTTTAGTAAATAATTTTCAAACGCAGAATTTCTGAAGGCTTAGTGCTGAATATATTCCAGTCCGAATGAGTCGAGTAGGTGATTTTTCGTCCTGCTTCGTTACTGAAATCAGTTAAAGAAATGGTATGAATTTTGAAAAAATTAGTGTTGCACATATAATATGACTGGAAAATAGAATTGTTCATTTTGAACATTGGTGGCAACATAAAAAACATTAGTACAAGGCTAGACGAGTCGTCAGAGTTCAAACATACGTGGCCCAATGGTTAAAGTTCAGAGTACCAGGATTGGAGCAGAGAGGTGCGGGTTCGATCCCAGCTCTGTGCGCCAGTTTCGGGTCGGAATCGGCAAGGAGGCCGGGCGGTTAAGTAAACAAAATTTAAATCAGTGAATTGCGAGCTCAAGCCCGCAACAAGCTGTGATTGTTCTGCAATGTTAAGAATTGACGACAGGCCTACGGCCTAATAAACGCTGAAACCGCTATTTTATTGTTATTATTATCTAAGATTTTATTGTCTTTATTCAAGAACCGTCACCTAACAGCAAATAAAATGTGCTAACTGAATCCCCTATAGATGGATTGTGCATCATACGCATTCTCTAGACGAATAGGATATGTAAAAAGTGTATTCGTGAACTTGATATTCAAAAGCCAAGCATTAAATTCATTGAAGTTACCTGAGAGGTTGAAGTATTGAAAATACTTTATTTACTCCTAACCGGTATACACACGATCTGCATTGATTATTATTCATGATGATAAATTGCCTGCTGTTTCTTCACGTGATCCGGCTATTTTTCATGAAGTGAAACGCGGTAAAAAAAAAAGAAAACAAAAGTTCGTTGATATGAATAATAAAAAGGTTTGTTAATATGAATGAAAAACTTTTTTTCAGTGGAATGTTTTTGGCAACGATACACGTGGATCCATAATGCTTTCATTTCTTTAACAAGTGTCTTGCATCGACCAAGAAATGACGCGGAGTTCTCACAAAATTTCACGATTCAGTCTTTGCAACGTCTTGGCGCTCGATAGCTGTTCCTCGATATCGTCTGCAACTTCGCATCAAAACAAAACTTTTGTAAGTATTTGTGATTGAAATATTTACAATTTACATATTCGAGTCGCTGCATGTCCATCGCAAAATGTGAACACTCATTGATGCGATTTATTTATAGCACGGAAGCGAAAACATAAGACTTTACCTCACATAAATGGTAACTCAATCCTTCATTTCGGCCTAAATTGTTAAAAAAAAATAAACTATAAAGCTCCAGCAAATTAATATGGGTACTGTACATTTTTTAACATTTCTGTTATCAGAAATGGATCATCCAGCGATGTCACGTAAGGCAGCTTACGGAGTACTGGTCACGGTGCTCAGTTGGTCCATCGCATCTGCCGTTATTTTACCATTCGGCTGCCCCACTCAAGCATCAGTGAATTCTAATGTCCTAAGCACAGTAAGATTTAAAATATTTCCCAATCATATTGTCCATTCTTTTTTGTGACTGTATATTTAAACCATCCATAAACCCAATCATTGTTCGCTTATGACATAGTTTGTACCATTAATTTATACTATAGTTATCTCTTTGCTAACTGATATAATGATTACTGCGAATTTACAACTATTTTATCCGACATATAACAACGAAGCTCACCTACTGTTCTTCTGTCACTGCTGTTTGTGATGAATTGTCCGCGATTTGGTGCAAACTTGTGCTTTTTATTTACCAATTTACCATACGGGTCATGTTAACAAAATGTTGTTTGTGTTCCAAGTACCTAACGGGCACCTGGTACGAGTACAGCAGGTACACGGGCTTCGGTAAAGCGTACCAATGCCCCAGTGAAGCGTACAAGCCGGCAGCGACCGCAGGCCTCTATGACGTCACGCGGACATGGATTTCAGGATCGTGAGTAATTTTGCCTAGCTTTAAAATTTCGTTAACACAAATAATAATTCGATGAATTTTTTCTCAATCAAAGAATATGTGTATTTTTTTATAAACTAATATGCGTATTTTCTTTATCAAAGAACATGCGTATTTTATTCATCAAGAATTTGCTCATTTTCTTTATCACAAAATATGCGTATTTTCTTTATCAAAGAACATGCGTATTTTATTCATCAAGAATTTGCTCATTTTCTTTATCACAAAATATGTGTATTTTCTTTATCGAAGAATACGCGTATTTTCTTTATGAAAGAACATGCGTATTTTTTTATGAAAGAACATGCGTATTTTCTTTATGAAAGAATATGCGTATTTTCTTTATCAAAGAATATGCGTATTTTCTTCATCAAATAATATGCATTTTTCTATATCAAAGAACAAGCATATTTTCTTTATCAAAGAATTTGCGTATTTTCTTCATGAAAGAATATGCGTATTTTCTTTTTCAAAGAATATGCGTATTACAGTGTATCCTTCTGTATTTATTTTGTTTACGTTTTTACTGTCAAATGAGATACTCGTAACATGCCCATGTGATAGGAACAGAGGCGATAAGCTGCATTGCTGATTTATGGCATTACAGCCACTGAAAAATTACGATGTTCAATTTTCACCATAGGAATGAGACTCAACAGTCATAGAGACGCTCTTGCGTTTCGATATTAAAATAAAATGTGTTCTAATGTCAGTGTAGTAGTCACTTTTTGTTCAATTTATCATTGTAATTTAATATTTAGGATACAGTGACCCAATAGCCTGCTTCATCGTCAGCACACTTTAGTCAGTTGAAAAATAGTTATATGTTTGACATCTTCCTCTATTTAAAATATTCTCGTTATTGTTCGTCAAATAAATAAATATTCTGCTCAACTTATAAAAAAAATTGTAACTATTTTTTTACGACACATCGTGGATGGAACGATGGCACCACAACACCTCAACTCATTACTGTCCTGACAATAATTTATACTTTATACTTACTTTCCTGAAGATAATTTTTCCTTGTAGTTAATTTTTTCTGAAGATAATGTGCTTTTTCTAGCCCTTACTTCGCCAAAGATAATTTTCACTTTTTTCTTATTCCGTTTCTAAAGAATATCGACACCTTCCTACTCTTACTTCCTTAAAAATAATCCGTTTCATTCGACCGCTTACTTTTTTGAAGAAACTTTTTACTTCAAATACGCACCAAGTAGTTCTATATAGCCTAACCTCGTACCAATACAGGAAAACACACAAACAACGTTCCACTACAATATAATAGAAGTTACTGAACAGGTGCAAGAATAAAATTAAGATATTGCTGCGAAGCACACATGGTGATGTACAAGATGTGTATAGGTACTGCTAAGTGAACGGAATTATTGTGGTATTATAAGGGCATCAGTGGTATAATTAAAAACATTTCGGAGCAAACTTACGTCAAAAAATTGTAAATAACTTTACGATAACTCGGAAGTTGCGTAAGTGGAGCTGGGCACAATTTTTTAGAAGGTGAAACGGTTGAAACTCGTCATGTCACTAATATAATGGCAAATTGTGAAAGAATTTTATATACACCTAAACAAATAATGTATAGTCGTGTCATTAGTGAATTAATTTCAATCGAGTTGACGCCAAGGGCTAAATCGTTTTCAATTCGCGTTTAAATTGCAAGCAAATGTTGATCTTAAAATCCTAGAGTTGTATGATCAGTCACTAAAATCATGTCCATATGCATTTCCGATGCAAAATTATATTTATTGAACTTTCCCAATGATACATTCATTCAATTATACATCAATTAGTGAGTGCCATACGCTTTCTTTTCGCTTGTAGTCACATATAAAGAAGGTATAAATAAGGTCAATTTAGGTGAAAACTGTTATCAAAACTGCACTGGTAAATGGTAGGTGCAACACTAAATACAATATTTTCATACTCACATAAATCTTCCAATTACATATGAAATCAGCAGCAAAAAACTTTCCAACCCACATTAAGTGAAATCACAACCATTACCTCTATTGATCACCGTAATCTGTTTCTCACTCCCTACCACCTTTAACGATAATCTTTACATTGAAAATAATCACCTAGCATTTTATTAATAGCCTAGTTACACCAATAATTTTGACACGTCTTTGGTCGGTGTTCATGATACTCACTCATTTTGCAAGAAAAATTGTCTGTTGAGTGACAGACCCCCTTAGCAGTGCAGCGTCACAGTGTAGCATCTCTATAATTACCATAATGACGGGCGCCGATGAATGTTAATGCTCGTACTACTCGCATTACTGTATCGTTTGTATCATTACTGTACTGTACTGTACTGTCCTGTACTGTACTGTACTGTACTGTACTGTACTGTACTGTACTGTACTGTACTGTACTGTACTGTACTGTTAATCGTTTTGTTATGTTGTTTGCTATTAATCCTATTCAGGAAATGGCAGGATAAAATATCGTGCTAGAGTGTTTCTTTAACAGGCTATCAATGGACTTGCTTGTCTCTTGCTTGGGTGTTCGAACTGCTGAGCCAATTAGCTGGGTGTATAGCAAATTAAAATTGATAAAAATTTCCCAATAAATTATTTTTCCGCGGCTTTAAAAAAAACTCTGTTAGGGAGAGCTAATTCGACATTACCCACATTACCCACAAAACTCTATTGAGAGTTTTTACCACCACGCGTTCTTTCCTTCACGTCTATGGCAAATTAGTCTCCACACAGCAATTCAAATTTAATACAATAAAAATAAACAAATATATTATATGATTCATAAAATAAAATTTGCAAGTAGTTGTTGCATCTACGGTTTGGAAAATAAATTAAAATATTCATCAAAACATAAATATAAATTTTAAAACATTAAATTTATTTTCCCCCAGTGGTGACGCCACAACCGTGAAGGGTCAGATGAAGCAAGCGGTGCCAGGCGGACCAGAAGCTGTGCTGTCGCTCCTCTTCTCAGAAGCAGCCTGTGAGGCATCATTATTATCTAATAATATTCTACTTAAAATGATCTTTTTTGCAAAACATTACTGGATTTGCGATACTGCATTCATTTGATCTATTTTCATGCCTATTTATTCCATTTATGTTGGCATATCACGTGCTGCTGATACCCCAGCAGCAATTCGCGACTGAAAACTAACAGTTATGGAGAGCGAGCTTGCACCTCATGTGAAATAATTTTTTGCCGAAATTTTTAGTTTTTGTGAGTAGGCTTGCACTTTCCCTCCCTCCTCCTTCAGAGTTCACATCCGTTTTGCTCACATTCGTCAGGACTCTTGCTGTGTAGGTAACGAGTATATATAAATCTGATATCGCAGTTATAAAACATCATGTTTCAAATTACAGACGAGGGCCAGCAAAACGCCATCACTAAAGCGAACTATCACATTCTGGCGTATGAGGTATCTAATTACGCCGTCGTGTGGGACTGCATTAGCTTCTTCTTTTTCCACATACGTAAGTGTTGCCAATTAACATTAAATAATATCATTAATGTAAATAATTAAAATAAATGCGAAGGATTATTTTACACATTTTATCATTATGCTATCCTTCATGTTTTTATACTATTTCATTACATAGAACCAATTTTATTATTTACTCGGTCACAATACGTATGATGTAAAACCTGGGCAGCGGAATCGTCGTGAGTAAAGGCATTAAGGTCAAGCTCCTTGATCACTAGAGCAGCTTTCAAAGTATGAAGTTTTTATTATTGTTATGTTTATATTCTTACATTATATCATTCATGAATTATTTAAATTAATTTTATTCGTGTTGCATTTTCTAACGTTTTACTATTATTCAAAATATATTTTTTAAGCGATTTAAATGTTCATTTCATGTTATTTTCAGTGATTTTTTCAATTAAACATAAAAAAACAAACATGTTTTAGCTTATATAATTATTCCCTACCTACGAAATTACCAACTTAAAAATCAAATTATGTTATTCCAAATAACTATGTTGAGTCAAAACAATCACTGTCTTGTTGTACCCGAAGCTTCACTATCCCAAGCTTCAAGAATCTATACGGAAGATGGTGAAGCTTCTGAATTAAATCATGACATCAACCATAACAGCAGTGAGTATAATTTATGCACAAATATAATGTTGTACTTACATGTACAAATTTAATGTTGTACTTTTAATGTTGTACTTACATTTAATGTTGTACTCTGTACATTGCAGAGACGCTACGCATCCTGACACGAGTGCGCGTTCCAGCAGACGAAGTCGTCGCGGCGGCCTACAAACAAGCCAACGATCGCGGCATCAAAACTAACTTCCTACGCAAGAACCAACAAACCAACTGCTAGTTATATTGATACTGCTATTTCAGCGATATTTATATTATTATCAACATCACGCAAGAACCAACAGACCAACTGCTAGTTATATTGATACTGCTATTTCAGCGATATTTATATTATTATCAACATCATATTTGCATTATTATTACGAATAGGTAAAAAATTTTATTAATAACTTTCTATAATAGGATAACGTTAACTTCCATGGGCTTCTGTACACTTGGAATGCTACTAAGGAAGTAAAACTGGGTTATTTTATTATTAAAGGTAAGAAATTCCTACGCAATGACCTATTGATGAGCCTATGTTCGAATTAATATTTAATAAAATCATACTGAGCATCATTTAAACTTTTTATTCCCTTTGTCTGTCGCTATTAATTTATTTCATATGCGTAGGCGCTATCAAGGCTGTTCAGTAGTGAGACTGATATTTTTAAAGTATTTGTCAGACATCTAAGGCAGCTGCATCGTTAGCAATGCACAAATAAACTTTTTTCTCGGAATTTCTATAGAAACTGACAAGGCAATGGTATATTCCTGGCCCAAATATCCATTCTAAGAAAATAAATTAATTTTAAATCTGTAACGTGTAGAAAGAACCGACCACGCATTGCAGTTCTTACGTAACCACGCCGGTTATACCGACTAAATGAACCTCGCCTTGAACCTTCCTCGAAATTTACCTCATTTTCAAAATTGTTGCTAAAGACACATTACTAGCAGTTATTTATCATTATTCCATTTATTTTTTATTTAGATAAGAAACCTCATGATTTTATGGTAACAGTTCCGTAAGATAGTCTGAAATTTTTCTATCTGAATTTCAAAAAATTCTTTACTAACTTCAATTTGTTCCATTTAATAACAGTGTTCCTCAATTACGAAACGCCGTAGGCTTTGTACGTAGGATTGTAGGCTTTCAACGGAACAAGCTTGGGTTCGCTTCAACCACCTCGTTGATTATCACTGTACCAAATAGACTACATTCAACCTATTTAATTAATTTAAAAATATTTTCAAATTGCTCTCGTGCTCATTTTGTAATGATCACAAATTTTTTCAGGGGATTAAAAATAGAGTAATTCATTTCCAGAAATCTTTCTTCAGGATAAACGAGTATCAATAAAACTTATCTACTGCGAGCACGTCAGAACATAACAAGCCTGCCTTTTATCAATAGAAAATGTATATAGCAAGCATTAAATTACTGATATTATTTTATGCCCAACTTACAGTTACGCTAAAAATATTATGAATTTTACCTTACTTAGGATTGCTATCGTGGTTTCAATTCTGCCCTGACGAAATATAATGATTTATGTTGAATTCTGACAAGTTTTAATAAAATTTGAAGTTATTCATCATATGATTTCTTCTCTTTCATTTTTCAACAAATCAATACCTAAATGAATTCAACCCAGATATAATTTAACCGAGCAGGTGGACCGAGGTTAGATAAGGGACTTCCGGTACACACCTGTTCATCACATATATTTAAGAGCTGTACTAGCATTAGTACTGTCTAGTACTGTACTAGCATTACACTTGCTAGTGCAGTGCACTGAGTGACTTGTTTGTATGCGGTAAAGTTCTTCCAGTATTCGGTGAAATTTCTAGTCGTGTGTGTCCTGTTGAAAATGTTGAAAATTCAAGCTTTACTTAGCAAGTGATAGGAGTGAAAAAGACAAAAATATTGTGTACAGTGTTTCTGCTCAGCGATTTCATGCGACCAAGAATTTTATAATTAAAATTTTGTGCGCGCTAATTCACCTTCACTTGTTGGGAAATTACTCGGTTGAGATATAAAATAACCTTAAATCTCATATAATTTCGGAATATTCCCTTGCAGATTCGGCAACCGTTTTTTCAAATCTCACCTAAAAATTACATTACATTGTTTGCAATCCGTTGTTTGCTAAATAGATATTTCTTATATGCCTGATTATTGAGTGCGTTTCATTTATCATTTTTATTCCATTTATCATTTTCGAAACAACTTTGATCAGCAGCGTCTATGACAGAAGCGGAAACAGTGGAAATATCAAACTCTCTTCTTTGACATTACAGGAGTTTCATTCAACCAATTCAATTTCAACTGTGTTATCTAACCTAAAATTGTCTCTTTAGAGACCGTTTTCCAGACTTGATACATAATACAAGATGATAGTTTGCGTGAGCTTCGTGGTGTTCGCCGCACTGATGAACCTGTCGTCGGTTGAAGCCGGTTTTGGTTTCGGTGGCTGTCCCAACCAAGGCGTTGTGGATCCCTTCGTGCAACTCACGGTAACGCAAAAATTAATAGTTTAAAAGCAAAGAATAGTCCACAAAAATTCATATCTTTATAGAAAACGTTTCAGTCAGTTCGTAGATTCAGTAAAACGTGGTAAAGGGAACAGTGAAAATTCAATTTTCACTGTTCCCTTTACCACGTTTTACTGAATCTACGAACTGACGATGGAGCTGGACTCCGAAACGTTTTCTATAAAGCTATGAATTTTTGTGGACTATTCTTTGCTTTTAAATTTTTAGTCAACTTGCGATTTAATCAAATAAGTGACATTAATACTTTAAAAATTAATAGAATATAATTATATCATATTTGTCACATTCGTGGTTTATGGTACCTGGTAGCTGTTTACAAAACAATATACAGTGAAGCACCATTGGACGATGTAATAATTCCGTGATAGTCGTAAAAATATTGTATTATTTCCATGTTACCCAAAGGATTTTAATTATACCTCTTTTGTGTGGGGATTTTTAATCGTCGCCCATATTGAAAACGACTCCACCACCAAACCAATCTCTTTACTAAATCCAAAATTGTAAATATATTTTCACCGAACGACGGCACGGCAATAGCGAATGAATTTAAAAACACATATAAATTAATCTATGCTATTTCTGTTCAGTTGACTGGTACCTGGTACGAATTTGGCAAGTACGCAGGACTGGACCAGCTGGTGTCTATCTGCACGGCCATCAAGTATACTCCGGCCTCGAACGGTCTCATCAACGTAGAAGAAGAAGGAATAACTTTGTGAGTTACCATTCAGAACTGAAAGAAATGTAGCAACAGAGATGGTTAAGTATTCAGTAACAGAGATGTATATACGGGACAAAGATGGCGAAAATCCTAGAGTTAAGTTTATTTGAGTTTTAACCTTTCTGCGTGGGAGTTAATACCAAATTTGCACTGAAACTCGAGGTCGGGACAAATTTTGACTATAAATTTGTAAAATTCTTGTTAAGTTTAAAAATTATTTTCAAAAAGTGAATTTAAAATAAGTCTTTTCATGTACAATATTCTAATAATTTTGTGAGGAGAATACAAATAAGTGAAGATAAACCTCGTACAGGTTCATGAAGGCGTCCAGAAAAGGACAAATGAAGCGAGCTGACCCTTCACAGACTGAAGGCAAATACTCCATCAGCTTCTGGACAGACGCTTGTACGTGGTAGCCGTTACTTTTGCATATTTATTATAAATAATTATTGGAAAAATTCTCCTGATTTCAAGTTTATCATCAAATTAATGCGCTAGTGAGCATGCATGACAGATCTAAGTGATCTGCTTATACTAGAACTTTACTGGCACGCGTTAACGATTTGCGTTTTCCTTGGCGCATTGATTTGGGGTAATAATTATAATAACTCGGGGTAATAATTATGATAACTCGGGGTAATAATTATAATAACTCGGGGTAATAATTATATTAACTCGGGGTAATAATTATAATAACTCGGGGTAATAATTATAATAACTCGGGGTAATAATTATGATAACTCGGGGTAATAACTCTGATGGCCGGTGTAAGAATTATATTAAGTAGGGGTAATACTTATAATTTTTTCCAGCAATGACACGAGTGACTGATTTGCATAACCATAAAGTGTTTGGTTAACCTGATTCATCAATTACATATATTCATGAGAAATATTTATAAGTGTGATATAATTCCTGACGAGTGAAATTTACACGCGACTAATTCAAACGCAACTTATGTACTTTTAGAAATTGAATAACCGTTCATTACGTTACTTCACTCAAATATTGTTTTCCTGTGCTATATATTATTATTATGTCAACTCACAAAACATAAAATAGTTTATTATGTCAACTCACAAAATATAAAATAGTTTATTATGTCAACTCACAAAATGTGTCCATTTTACTCGTACTATAATGACAGAATTTGTTTTAATCACTAACAATATTACTGTCCTTAAGACAAAGGAAGGGAGAATGACATCACGGCTGCCAATTACAACGTCCTGGCCATCGATCCTACGAGCTACGTCATCATCTGGAACTGCTTCGACGCGTTGCTCTTCCATATCGGTCAGTAATACTGATATTTTATTAAACTTAATTAAATAGACATATATTTTTTTAACATTTTTCGGTGCGAGGGGTATTATGTGGATGAAATTTAAATAACATAATAGTTTGAATGAAACTTAATTAAATAGACATATATATTTGTATAACATTTTTCGGTGCGAGGGGTATTATGTCGATGAAATTTAAACAACATAATAGTTCGAAATGATAGCAATATTAGAATATTAGAATCCTAATAAAGAATATTAGAATCCTAATAAAGAATATTAGAATCCTATTAGAATATTAGTATCCTAATTCTAAAAAAAATGCATTCGTCAAAGAGCCTAAAAATGCCTACAGACTATCAGAAAATTAAACTCATTGGTGGGTAAAATCTCTTAACATCCCCATCCATATTACTAAATTATAACCTCGATCGTATTACTCGCTTCATCCAGAAGAGGAATTCTGGATCGGCATTAATTTTGCGGACTCTTTCATTGTACTGTTTCGTTTAATTGTTGCTGATCTCTTGTTAGCGGTGCGTTCGATGCAAATTTTTATTGATTTCCAGACTTTTTCCAGAAAAATTTAAGTGAAGGCAAATGAAAAAAACGTGATTTTGAGCTGTGTGTGAAATTTTGTAAGAGAATAAGTTTCCATCACTAATATTAGTGAATGTTGCAGTGAATCTTCGGGTCATCACCAAAGACCGGGTGCCAAGCCAGAGCGTGATCGATGAGATCTACAACGAATTGAGTGACCGACAGATCAGCACGTTTGGCTTCGCGAGAACTAGCCAACAGAACTGCTGAAGACTTGACGGCAGAAACTCGACGGCAGAACTGCTGAAGACTCAACGGCAGAACTGCTGAAGACTCAACGGCAGAACTGCTGAAGGCCTGACGGCAGAACTGCTGAAGACTCGACGGCAGAACTGCTGAAGACTCGACGGCAGAACTGCTGAAATCGTGTGTTCTCTGAATTTTCATTAAAAAATACAAAAATGAATCACTAAATTCTGTTTTGCACTTGAAAAATTGTTCTTTACTATTCATGGATTAATGTTACCATATTTGACATGAACTGTAGTAATTCAATGTATGAAGAATTTAATCACTATATAATGCGAAAAGCAATCTGCAGACGCGAGGGATATTAATATATTTCTTGAAAGCCAATAATTTTAGATCATGGTGCACTAAGAAGGCTTTAAACTATATTAGACATTAAGTTGGACCAGTGAAAATCCTGAAAGTACAAATGTGCAATCATTCATTTAAACTACATGTCTGAAATATATATACAAGAATAAACTAGTAAAAAATGCACGTATTTTATTGGTGTGAAACATTAAACAAAAATGTGATTACAATGCCTCTCATTTCATTATTCCTAACGACTTGATGTTGTTGATTACAATTCCGCCATCTTGGTAGGTTTTGAAGATGCTTTTACAAGCTTGACAATAGATTTCATACAAAAAAGCTGCAATTTACCCAATTGTGAGTCAATGATGTTGATTCAAACAATAAAACTTCATTCTTCAATTTTTATAAGTTATTTTAACCCTAAGACGCATCGCAGGTCAAGATTGACAATAACAACTGGACTTTCCAAGAAATAAATTTTAATCAAATGTTAAATACAGCAGTGATATCCAGAGGTGCAATGAACAAATTTCTGCACTCCAACAAAAGTCTACGGTCAAATTACGATCTAGTTTGGTAGTCATTTAAAAACTAGGGTATAGAGAACAGTAGAACGCGACGAATTTGGGCTTTCAAACAGAGTAAGTTATTGATAGCCTGAAAGTTATGTATGTCGTGGAAAAAAAACAACTAAAGATTTAGATTTGTATTAATTTTGATTGCCCCAGAAGGTGATTTAAGAAATTTTCATTTATATACCAAATTTGGAGTACGATGTAATTTTTGATTGACAGTGACAAACGTTAGTAAGAGCTGGTTGACTCGAGATTTGATCAGAATTTGACAGCTTCCAGGGTCATCAAAGTAAATAAATTCAATGAACATTGGTAACTACTTTATAAAATCATCCATATTCCAAACAAGACAAGCATTATATTCGTTCAAAATTCGAATTTTCAAACGAATGCCTATTGCGTTAAGTGAACACGGGGTGAAGGTGAATTATAACCTCATTTCACGCTTCTGCATCACGACTATGAAATCATGGATTCAAAGGTCCTATGTTCAGGTGGTGGCCTCGGTTGTAATCGTTAATCTATAATTATTGACGGTTGTGATGAGGATGCGAAATACAGATTTGTCCACTGCCACTAGGCGCAGTAATTACGCCTGAAGCATGCCATAAGCGGTAGAAAATTGTAACATTAAACAAACTTCGTGTAATGACTAACTTTTTATCGAAGAAAATATTTGAAGTCATTGCTATACATATTAATATCAATAACTCGTCGACAGATTACAATGAGCGACACTTAATTTATTGTATCAGTATATAAGTGACTCCTTCAAGAGTTTTACCATTCATGCATGAATATTTTTTTGCACTAATTTACATGAATGTCAGTGAATCAGCGACTGCCACGTCACAACCAACAGGCGTAGTGTTGGGGTAAGCTCGAATTTTATTATCTAGCGTGTTATTTTACTTGGAATACGTCAATTATTTAGAAGTTGTTCAACGCCACTTTAGTTTAGACTTTACGGAAGTCGGAATGCGGAAGGTGTAAGTTGCTGCTAGATTATTGTGCGGCGTGAAGCCCGAAGCGGAAGTACGTAGCGTGTTAGGTCCTGACGTGTATTAATTAATTACGATATGTGAATTGATTTGAATTGATGTATATATTATATTTATGTTCCATCATTTGATTTGTATATTCATTACTTTATTTACTAGTTAGAAGTTTAATTATTGTTCAATTTACTCTTTTAGGAAAGCCTCAAACCAGAGACTCAAACTCGAGACTCAGTCATCTTCTCATCAGTTGGCCAGCACGTGAATTGTGTATATTAAAGTGGATTGTACATGATATAACGGATGATTGTGCAATAAAGTGGTTCTAATTAAGGACCATCAGTGAAAATGACCCTATATACGATCATGTAGGCTGAGTTGGTGTGTTGATGACCCCAACAATATTCTTCTATCATAAAGTAATATCAGTGACAACTTCGCTGATTTTAATGAAGGTAACTCGCACCGTGACAGGTGTTTCCATTTCCGGGAATAAACATATTCAGCATTGTTCATAAGACTAAATTTACACTATTTCACAATGTAATCTGAAACTTTTTTAAATGATAGCATACGTATTAATGAGTATATGATCGAATCAATGCAAACTAAAACTTCAACAACGTGATGCGCTAAACTGGGGCGAAACTAGGGTTCTATTGCCAGTGCGACAACGAGCTTTTTGGTTGATTTGCTTGATGAGAATGAATTCTTTGTAGGAAACTGAGGCTGCAGTACTACAGTTATATGTCATGTCGGGTAACTTAACACTAAAGAAACTAAGAGCAAAGATTGGCCAGTCTGCACGGGTAGTAACCCTAGTAACCCTCGTCGCCGCACAAATAGTAACCCTAGTAACCCTCGTTGCCGCACGTGTAGTAACCCTAGTAACCCTCGTTGCCGCACGTGTAGTAACCCTAGTAACCCTCGTTGCCGCACGGCTAGTAACCCTAGTAACCCTCGTTGCCGCACGGGTAGTAACCCTAGTAACCCTCGTTGCCGCACGGGTAGTACAATGCAATTAAATTCCTAAAAAATTGTCGGGGATGGTATTGATGAAACTCCCTTGCAACACCGTGAGGGAGACCGAGTTATACTGCTATAATATTATGAGCCTTGAGGCCGAGTTAGACTCCGAGTAGACTCCTGTGTTTTGTATTTATTTTTATCCGAGACGAGACGGGACAACAGGCTCTGTCCCGGTTCGCAATAGAAACCGGGACAATTTTCAGCCCTCCGTAGGAATTCCGGGACGATACCGAGACGTGACGAGACATCCCGGTCAAAGTAGGTAGCTTAAAATTTCCCGGAATTTATAGCCATTTTAACGAGACATAACGAGAAATAACGAGACGAATCAATTATTGATATGGTGTAAACTTTGGCTTACCATCATACATCTATGTAATAACTTGAGACGTATCCTTTTACTATTCTGATTGGAGCTCGGCAATTGAAATGATTTTTGCTACGAATACATGTTGTGGTTTAATATGGTACGTAATCTTGACAGGCAAATAAAATGGAAAAGCACGTTATTTATTTTCCAAAAATTGTATTCTATGATGGTCTGGAGGAGGCCATACTAGCTGTAGCTGGTGACATCGGCTGCTTGGACAGACATTGATTTGCCTCCAGCTCAATCACAGAATCAGATTCATCGATCTTGCCTTAATCAATCTCCTTCAACAAAAAGTCTGGAAAGAAATATCAACAACATTTTAAAATACAACAAAATTTAAGTTGGAAAAATATAATAGTTTGATCTTCAAAAAATAACTCGAAATATCCATGTGTATCCTTTCTAAATAACGTTAAACAAGCGTTTAATAACAATTCAGGTAACTGCGCAATTGTGAAGATTTCCTGGAGGCGTAGCACAAAATTTTAGTAAAGGCAGAGATAATCTAAAGCTAGCTTTAGTATTATTAGGAATATCTTACCAGGACTCCACTCCACTGTCTACTAATTGGCCGACTATTCTAGACACTGCGTCCCTACTTCCTATGCGCTACATGGCGCCTGACCTCGTTCCGAACGCGTAATGAACTCGACTCGTACTCGTACGGTTCCCATAAGTGCCATAGAAGCCTTAGTTTAGACTTAAGGGTAATATTTTTTACTCAATACTCAGCCATACATGGACAGGTTTGCGGTGTTTGTCGGACCACTAATTTACTGCCATGTCAAATAGTCAGACAAATTTTGCTAAATCTGCAATTAACTCAATTTAACTGGTAACTGTCTATGGCCCTATTAGCAATAGAGGGCAAACTTGCCATTCTTCAACCCATGTTTTCGAAATGATTCGTATCGTAATCGAAAAACTTGTTTTTGTCTCAAATAATTAAGACAAATCTCGTCTCGTCTCGTTTAAAATCTGTCTGTCTCGTCCCGGTTCAAAATTTACCGGGACAAAAGTTTTAAGGTCCGGAACAGAAGTCTTTTCTCGGTTCATACGTTTATTCCGGGATAAATTTTACCCTCTATCCCGTTATTTTTTTCCCGGAATTTTCTCGTCTCGTTTCGTCTGTCCCGGTTTATTTTGAGAAAATTATTTCGGGACGCAGGAGTCTATATGCCAGTCACTGTCCGGTCCAATATTCTTTAATGTATTTCTATAAAAGCATTGACACCAGCCGTGCAAAAAACCTTGCTGCCATGCTTATGGTGTAAATGCTCTAGTGGAAATGCATTAAAGAATGTTGGACTGGACCGTGACTGACATATGCCGGCAGAACGGTGTGAACACGGCACTATAATATGGCTTGCTTATCCACGCTAATAGGTGTTGTACAAGCTTATAGCGGGTGCCACGTAATACATCGCGATTGACTTGATATTCCATGACATCTGTTTTCTGTTATTTTCAGTTTTGAATCGGAATATTATGGGTAATTCGCTGGCTTCGTGCAGTTTTAACTAACGGTTTAGTTGTCCACCTACGCACATACGAAGCGCAAACTGGCAGAGTGGGTCATGGTTCAATATAGTTCAACCATGATGTAGGTGCTGTAGACTGATTTTAAATTTACCCGAAAAGGCGCGAGAAACTTTTATTTCGATGGCTTATAAAAGTGGTCTAAAAGTGCTAGTGTTTTC